GGGGGGGTGGGGTGGGCGTGTCCAGTGTGGAGGCGGAGCCCTGGATGCGTTGCCGTAGCAACCACAGCTGCCCTGGCTGATAAGAAACAAGCCGCAGCTGTGAGGACCCTTTCAGACACACTGAGCACGAGCAGACCCCCGCAAGGGGAGATCCTTCCAGCGACAGTCCCGGAGGGGTGTGGAGAGGGGAGTTAAGGCCGCGTTTTCAGGGACGGGTTGAGCTCTCCTTTTGTTGTGGCCTTGAGCTCCCTGCTCTTCCAGAACTGACCCCGTTAAACGGGGATAGTTCGGTCCGGATCCCGCTGTGCCCAGCGGAGGCTTTCTCCCCCCAGGCTGGACCCCGTCAGGCAGCGTGCGTCCCGTCTGGACGCCGCCTTTGCACAGCGCCGCGTTTTTCGTTTTGCTTGTGCCCCCCGCCCCTAGTGCCTCTGCCCCCTCGGACGGGGCATCTGGACTTTTTCCCGCTGTCCACCGCAGCTCCTGCCCCTGCTGCGCTGCTGTTCCAATGGGATGATCCGATAACACCTCCACGAGCCCCAGGCGCTCCCAAGCTGTGTCTTGTATCACGCTTCACCCGTCCCGTCTTTGGCTTTGCGGTTTCCACACACCCTACTGCCCCTCATCTAGCTCATGCTAACGGCCGGAAGCTTTAAGAGGGACTGAGGACAGTGTGCGAGTCTTGGCAGAGTCACTACTTGCTCCCTCACTGGCAGAAAAGCCTCAGCAGTTCTGTGGGCCCCATAACTTCCCAGAGGCCGAGATCCGCCAACCAACGTCAACCTGCCCTGCTCACAAGGGCGCTCGGGGCTCAGTGGCGCGCCAGACAGCGCCATACCGCTGGTATCAGAAACAGATTATGTGTCCTGACCCACATGTTCTGCAACTAGCATTCCTCACTACGCCCTTCTGTCCTGACACCTTAATAAAAGAGTTGCATTGTTCTGGCAGAGGGCGCAGTGAGGATTAAATCGCAAATCTGCTACTAAACTCCGAAAAGAATGCAATGTTAGTGCCAGCTACGGTTTGGTCTCCTTGGTTGGCGTTCCTTGTGGGGCTAAATGGCCTCGCCGTTTACAGATGTCCAGCAATCCCATGTATGAGCCCATCCCTGCGATCATCAGGTCAAGGACGCAAATCTTTCATATCTATCAGGGTGCGGCTTAACCATCTGTGGCACTGCGGAAAAGGGGGCCTTATTATCACAGCCAGCGCGGGCACCGGAGCGCACCGCTGTCGAGAAAGCAAACTATAAAACTGTGGAAATGATTACCTAGATAAAAATAAACCTAACCCCAAAACAAAATGAACTCCATCAATAAAATATTGGAAACATGATGTATTATCACTCTGTTTACTGTCCTGAACCGGCTGTTTACCATTAAGAGAATTGCACAGGCTTCAATTCCAATCCACAGGAAAATGAATGTAAATTAAACGTTTCCTCCAAGGTGAATGTTTATTACTATTAGGAGGCTATTATGAAGCGTAACTGTGCACGTGTATGTGGTTTGTGCAGGACACTCCTAATAGGATTTTGACGGAGTGGGTGGACTGTGTTCTGCTGGAGTTCTGTTCAAAAGTCCAGCCCTTCAGTTCTTAAACCCTAGAGCAGAGAAGAGTCATGCATCCGTTTGGCCCCAGGAACTAGAGTGTTTCCAGAACAGAAATACCTCTTTTTTTTTAGCAGCGTGACCAAAACTGAACACTTGTTGCTCTCAACAAGGGCATGCTTTTATCATAGCGCCCCTCAGTTAAATTATCAAGACACAGTATGACGCCAGCTGAGACTCACCTTGCTTGCTGTAGGAGTTGCCCATGTTGTAGGCTGTGCCATCGGGGTCGTAGTGGGGGTGGGCTGTGGCCCCATTGACAGCGATGAACTGGCTCCAGTCCACCTGGACACACACACAAGCTGTCAGACTCCACCTTGTCCCCCGACAGGTGCAATAACGCGCCTGAGGTGTCACCGTTCCCAGTTGCGGTCTTACAGAGAGAAAGGACGTGGGTTTCTGGCGGACGCGGCTCTCAATTAACTGACCTTCATCTTTCCTCAAGTGATCTGGATGTGAAAGTGCTCTGCAGATGATCAAGTCAAAGTTTTATAAATAATTAATTCATTAAAAGATACTCCTGATGTCCAAAGAGTTTCCATTGGACAGTATATCCCAGAGGGGTTGGGCAGCCAGTTGACCTTGGACCCCTAGAGGTTTCTTTTCTCCTTACGGAGGGGTTTTTGGTTCCTCTCCTCAGTGGTCTTCTGGCCTTTTCTCTTTCTGGATTGGAACGTCATGTACTGCCACACAGCTTTGTTAAGCGCCTTGGGGCAACCTTGTTGTGAAAGGCGCTATATAAAAATAAATTGAACTGAACTGAATATATCCTGGCGGAAAGGAGCGATTACAAGTGGTGCAGTGTGGGA